CGAGACAAACACTTCCAGCTGTTGCTCTGAAAGCAAATCTCAGCAAGTACCTTCCAGGCGGGAACGTGTGGGCTTACTTATTTAGGAAAAGAAAAAAATCTCACCACTCCAAGCCTTCAGCATCCACCTTCGTAATTAAAATCTCTAATCACAAGCAGAGTGCAATACGTGACCATCTTCTGGGAGCTGTTTCTTAAGGTGGTTTTCCATTTTTGTGTTATTTAGCCCCTGCCTCGGTGCCAGGGTTTACTTAACCTTAAGCTTGTGAACAGGCTTATTGAATTTGGCCGAGACTTGACTAATCTGTAATGAGCTCCAGGTTGCCTGGAACTTGGCAGCGCCGTCGTCCTCTGTGCCGTTGCATAATGGCCTGACCCCACATAACCACGGCTTCGCCTCGCGCCCCTTCTCCAACATCCTCAAGTCCCCCTCCGAAACCCCGGGCTTCGCGGAGGGGCCGCCCTGCTAAGGTGGGTCCCAAGTGCCAAAACTACCTCGGCTGCTTTCATCCTCTTCCACGGGGCGAGAGGTGGGAGAAAGTGGCAAGAAAAGCTTAAATGTGGAATCTAGCTGGGGCAGAGGGGTGGATGCAGCGATGGCAACCAGGAGAAGGCTGGTACCCTGTTCCAGGTGTCTGTGGTGGCCAGGGGGACATGAGAATCCTGGCCACCTTCCTCCTCCTCCTCCACCTGCATCAGGCTGATGCACAGCCCCCTGTGGTCCCTCTGCACTTGTGAATGGAGGATGCTCATTCTGGAAGCTCTTCCATTTGAAACTTGCTAGGTGTTTTTTATTGTTTATTGTAATTTTAATTTTTATTGTCATTTCAATAAGGGCAACTGGAAGGACTTAATTTGTCAAAAATCACAGGAACAATTCAGATGTTGCTCTATGTCAATATCCTCCCCCTCCCGTTGTGTATTTACTTCAGCTCAGCCACTTGAGAAATCCATTATTTTCCTGCTTCTTATTGAGCATCTAATGATGAAAATAAATTGTTACCGCTATTTATTGTGCATTTCCCATAAGGCTGACATGGCACAGAGAAGGAACCAGATTCTTTTCCTTCTAGCATCACACTGGGAAGATTGTTTACAGCACTTCAGCTCCAGCCCTCTGCAAGCCAACCGAGAGCAGGGTCATTAAAGGCAGGATTTAGAGGCTGTGGGGTTGCATAAATTAATTGAGAGCAAAATTTGTCAGACAAACATTTGGTAATGAGTGAGGAGGGAGGAATCTGGCTTGGATCTGGTGTACCCAGCAGTTCGCTGGAGGAAAAGATCCTCTTACAAAAAAAAAAAAAAAAAAAAGATCTTGCCTTGTTTGGAGATCAGAGAGCCAAATATAGACCCTATCACATTTCCTTCCCTCCTCCTTCCGAAGCTCTTCCTTTTGAAGTGCACTTTCAATGGGATGTGGATAATTGACTCTGTGAACAACCGACCAAGTGCTCTGTTGGTTTAACCAATTGGTCTCAGTTGCTGATTCCTGTTTTGTTTTGGATGATTTTCAGCCCAATTGCCCCGTCAGCTACAATTAGTCCCATTAATATGACAGCTGAAAGGTCACAGATGACTCGCTCTGGTCGCAGGCATGGGGGCAGCCAGGAGATACTCACAGCGAGTTGTTCTCGGCTCCGTGGTCGCGTGGCGGTAGCTTGCTTAAATTGATGGCGATTGCAAATCCTGGCGTAAAATCCATCAAAAGGGACGTGTGATTTGCTTCACGGGAGGGTGATTGACTGAGAAATGAGGCTGCAGTAACAAGTAACATTTGGATGAACTTTTCTTTAATTACACAAGAAAGCTTCTGGTCCTGTATAAAGGGGAAACGCGGAATGGCTGGGCTTCCTCTCGCCAGCCGGAGCCGCGAGGAAAGGAAGCAGAAGTGGGATGGAGTTGTAGGCTCATCCTGTGGCTCTTTCAACAAATCCATGGCTGTCGTTTTCTGTGGCTCCAGTGACATCTGCCATGGTTTTGGGCTTTGTGTCTTCCACCCAGGGTTTAAGCTTAGGGGAATAAAGTAGGAAAGGGGACAGCAGACGAATGGATGGAGCATAAGGGATCATTTGGCTTCGTAAGATTAATAGGAGTCAGATGCACACAGATGCAGGTCAGACGTTGGACTCACGGGTCTCACGGTCTCTCTTTGGCCATGGTAGGGCCACAATGCTATCACAGCAAATGTAGTCTGGTTGTATACTTGGCCTTTTGTACGAGAAAGGAGACATAAGGCACCTAAAGTGCCCGGATCAGCCTGGCATTGAATTATATAGCCCCAAAACCCGCTTGGAAGGCCCCGGTTGGAGACGGTTCACTCGCAAAGCAGGAGGCTGTGTCTGGTGAAGTTCTGCGAGGGTCTGGCTTTGGTTTAGTGTTATTTGGTGTTTCCCTTAACTGCGTGGATGATGGAAAAGAGAACATGCAGATTTCAGTTTGCAGATGACCCCCAGCAGTGAAGGGCTCGCAGCAGCATGGCTGAGAGGGTCAGACTTCCAGATGACCTCGCACGAGCTGGGGAAGCGATGTGAAAAGGACAATCTGTGGTTTGTATGAAGACAAACATAAAGTTTTACAGCCTGGCAGAAACCATTGACTGTGCCAGTGCAGGATGGGGATGGTTTCCAGTAGGTGAAAGGATGGCATTAAAAATGCGAATAACTTAAAGATCAGGCAAGAAATAGCAGCATGAACTTCAAGCAGGGTGATTTTGGTCAGACAGTAGAGGAAACCTAAATGATAAAGATGGGAAAAGATGAGAGTAAACCACCAAGAGAGGCTGGAGTCTGCTTCACAGGACATGTTTAAGAATCAGTGGCACAAACTTTTGTCAAGAGTGACATAGATATATTTGCTGCTGCTGCTGTGAAGCACAGGTTGGAGAAGGTCTGCAGATCTCCTTGGGGCAAGATGAATATTTTGCCCACCCTTGTTTTTTTTTTTTTACTAATGAAACATTAACATTTCTAAGAGGAGCACATGCTTTGTGAAAAATCCCTTGGCTAGGGACTGAAAGTTTCCTTGAGCAGTCTGGTGGGAGCTTTGCAGCCCGCCCCCGTGCCCTGCCATCGTCGTGGGCACAAATTCCAGGTGAAGGAGCTCAGGTCTGGTCTTGCGGGAGCGTACAGCCTACACAAATCCCCCCTTTATTTCTCTAGAAGCTGTACTTTCTGCAGGCATCTGTGGGTTCCAGAGGTCAGTGTGCTGTGCTGAGCTTACTCCCTTTAAATCTCGTCTGGGACTTGTTCCTAGTGAAAATAGCTGGTGGTTCTAAAAAGTGTAGCAGCAGGAGACCTTTTCTATCAGTGTGTTTCCATCCATGTTTGGGCAACACAATGAATGCAGATGTAGTAGGAAACTTCTGATTATCTATAGGACTTTTCTGTGGCAACTTCAAAGCTCTGTGGTTAGTTATATTCTGAGACTTTAAATGAATATGTCTTGTGTTCAGAGCTCTGATTTAATTTTCCGGTTTAATCTATTGTCTAAATGTCATTAGTGTTGTCTTTGAGGCATGGAGCAGCTTTGATGGAGTCTTTTTTTAATTTCTGGCCATCACCCTGTGCAGCCATAAACAACATCCTGCCTGCTAATGAGAAAATTCAAGTTATTGCAGTCACATGTCTTTTGGAGATAGATTGTAGTGGCAGGAGGAAAAAAGGAACTGACTTTGCTCACCTCCCACCCCAGCTGGCACGAACATTTGGATTACTGACAGGGAGGACAAGTTTCCACAGATTAAGATACTCCATTAAAGAGCAGTCTTGCCTGTTGAAAATGAAATTATTCACTTCATAGACATATCATTAATTTCTTAACCTGCTTTTCATGAGTTATCTTTTCTACCTATAAGCATCTGAAACCTTTCCTAAGAAATGCCCTGCTGGCACATCAGCTGTTGGGCTCAACTATTCCTAACAAATCCAGGTTTCTGGAAGCATTTGACCAGTCCTTCTGGTGTGACGTGAGGGAGCAGGATCCGCCATTACATACCCGGTGAACCAGTTGCATGACATTGATATCCTACCCATTGCTTTCCCCTCTCTCCCGTCTTCTGTAAAACTTTTTTTTTTTGGAAAGTAAAACTTGTGTGTGGATGACCTTGGAAAAACTTGGCAGAAGTTGGGTGTGGGGAGTGGGACACAGCGCAAGGTCTCGGCATGTGCTTCTTGCTGCACCGTGATAAACATCTGCAGAAGATTTGGGAAGTAGGGGGTTGGTTGTGATGCACAGCCCCATGTTTAGCCTTGATCTGGAGATTATAACAGCAACAGGAGAGCGATGGCATCAGGAGGGTAAGGGCACAACATGGCATCAGAGCACTGGGCACCTTATTCCTTCTCTGCTGGGAAACCCATCTTGTAGGGCAGAGCCCACCCTGTGACAAACTGGCTTTATTGGCTCTGGCCTCGTTGGTAATGAGTGTATAAACTGGGCGTGTTGATAGCAGCTTCACAGCATGGGCACATCTCAGGTCTTGTCTGTGCAGGAGCTTGAATGGCTGAAACATAGAATTGGGATACGGTGTGAGGGCTTGCTCAGGGATGCAGTTGTCTTATGGCAGCATAATTTTGCTCTATTTGGAAAGAGGATTAAAATGGCGTGGATAAATAAGTATAAATATTAGCCGATCCCTGCAACTGGTTTTCCTCTGCAGACAGGTTTTACAGGAAGATGTCCCGCTTGCTCCCAGACAGGACTTGATACAATCTGTGTTCTGGCTTGGCGAGAGCTGCCCAGCCTGGTGGTGCCTCTCAACGTGCTGGCCTGCACTGCTGCACCTTTCCCCGGCATTTGCACCCTTTTAACCACACTGACCTCTTCTCTGCCTTCTCCCCCCACGAAAAAAGTTCACATTCATCCTTTTAAACTACACCTGGAAACAGTCGCTGCTGTCGCACGTGTTTAGAGGACGGGTGGTCACCGAGAGCAGGCTGTAAGGTCTCCCGCAGTCCCCCTATGGTTTCTGAGGTTCTTCTCTCCCCCTCCATGTCTTCGCAGAGCACGGCTTTGTCGGCTACTCCGAAGAGCTGATGTTCAACAACACGCTGCCGGACTACAGCAAGGGGGAGTCCTTCTTCACTGTTTTTGGAGTGTTTTTCCCAGCTGCCACAGGTACCGTAATTTTTATCCTCCCCTTCTTTCCCTCCACAGTGACATCTTGGAGATGAGCAGAATCAAGGGCAGTTCCTCTGGGCTGTGAGCGAGGCGAGCAGGACTGTACTTCACCATAGCAGACTCACACAGTCTTTTCCAAATGTTCTGGCTTTCCTCCAGCATCTCCAATTCTGCACACTCCTGTCCTGTTCACTTGAACATGCTCTTCTGTCTCTCTGTGGTCCAAAACTGCTGGTCACCTCTATGGGTTGACATGGTGGTGTAAATCCCTCCCTGCCAAGGACGAGGCTCAGGCATCAATTTTGGCCAGGGCTGCCAGGCCACAAGGTATCAAGCCTTTTTAAAAGGGCTGATCGTGATTTATCTTATCTAATAAGCCTTATGACTTGATTGCACTGGAAGGGTGGGAAGAGCACAGGAGAGCTTTCCCTCCAGCCTTACTGCGGGCGGGTTGCCGAGCTGGGCTGATGCCACCGCTCATGATGCTGACCTACCGCTCTCTGCATGGCATCACGGAGGCATCTTTGCGTGTCAGCAGAGCTCACGCTTATGAGCTTAACTGGATGCATTCATATTATTCATTCTCTTAAATTACCAGGAAGATCCATGTCCCCTTTCCAAAGCTGGCAATCTCCAGTGGGAATGAAATAACTATCAATTGGAGTTACAATACCTTTTGTTGATGCTGGGATTTTTTAAGCTATAAAAAGTACCGATTATAAGCAGTTTCCATAGCGATGAATCCTTGGATTACAGAGTGAATTTTCAGAGGATTAGCTCTAAGCAACTTGCTGGAAGTTGATCGCAGAATTGCTGTGGTACAGGGAGACAAACTAAATGGTTTTGTGAAGCAGATGCGACTGGAGGAGTGGTCTGGTAGCAGAAGGTGGCACTTTGTCAAGTGCACCTAGTGCAGGACTTCAGATTTTCCTTTGAAATCCTCTCTCCTGGCTTATCAGGCTGGCTATTGCCTCTGTGTAGACTTTGTCCTGGAAAACTCACCTGCCTGAACTGTTGGCATCATGGAGAAGTTGGCTTCTGCCCTCTTTTTTGTCATTTCTGCCTGGCCCAAGCGAGTCCCCCAGCCACAGAAAGAGACTTTCCCCACAAGCCCTGCCTCTGACGCAGGAAAGCAGGTTTTTTCCAGCTCCTTGGTTATAGAAGAAGGAATAGTTATGACAAAACTGTGCACAAAATTACCGCAATTAGCCATATTAAATGGTTCTTCATCACTGCTAATGCTTGGCTGCTAGGAAGAATGCCAAAGCTAATAGATATAATTTATTTAAAGTCCTGGCAGCCTGTTGCTTTATTAGTTAGCAGTAGTAATACCAGTAGCAATGTTAAACATTCTCCGAAAATGCAGTTTGGGCTGATGTATAATTACTTTGGTTGCTGCACAGCTTTTTCATGCGTTCTTTGTAATTGCTTGGTTATTTACAGGATTTAAATTATTCCTTTGGAGTAGCGGTGCCAGTGGTGCCATATAACATCGCTATTGCTGCCGTTATTGCTGTTTGTAGCACCGCGGAGTTCAGAAGCCTCATAAAATGTAGGGTTGTGTTCGGTACTCTTGGAAGAACTTGTGATCTGATTAGGAAATTTTTAGGGTGGGAGACAAGACTTCTCAGCTGCAGATCACAAATGGGGAGCTCAGTGCAACTTCAGAAGTGCTAGGAATTAAGCTCACATCTCCTCGGGCTGGAGCGATGAATGAGGGCTGGTTCCCCCCCTGTCCTGCCTGACCCACGCTGGCTTAACTCGCCGCCTCCCCCACCGTGGGGGTGCCATGCTTGGGCTTCAGAGGACACCCCAGGTTTCTTGGGGTCCCATGCACTGGAGCAGAGCTGCTTCCCCACCGCATTGGCGGTGGCACTGCCTGGCCGCAGCCCGAGCCTGCCGGCAGGACAAGCGGTCCACGAGATTGGAGGTGACATTTCAGGGATGGGTTTGGCAGCGGCATGAACAGCGGGTTGGGGAGATGCGATAGGAGTGCCAGCGCCTCTGACGCAGGGCAGGCAGTGTCATGCAGATGGCGAGCGGGCGGCGGTGTCAGTCCCCAGCACCTCCGCATGAAAAGGAAAGGCAGGGACACGTGAACATCACTCCCGGGCTGTCACCTCCAGCCTGTGCTCCTGCTCCTGCCCAGCACCATCCCCAACGGGTACCCACCTCTGCTGGAACCCCCGCAGTGACCCGGCTGAAGCACTGGAAGCAAAATCCTTTGCGTTAAGATGCAACAGAAAGTTGCGGAGAGTTTCAGTGGAACAATATGTTGTTTAGTTTTGAGAGGTTACTTCGAGCCAGTTTGAAACATTTCTGTGACCCAAAGCAATGTTCTGTTTATCTTTAATTTATTAAATGTTATGTTTACTCTTTTTAATTTTTAGCATATGCTAGTTCACAATCTAAGATGCTGTTTTGATAACAAAGGGGTTTTTTTAAAAAAAAATGTTTAGGAAATTGTGAAACAAGATGCTTGGGCCTTTCTGGGATGAAATGTTCCTCTTCGAAGTGAAACTATTTTGAGCTCCTCAGGATAAACTCTTTCCTCTGCCTCTGAAATGATGATCTGAATTCAACTGGTTTAAGTTTGGTCTCTGGGGTATACTGAAAAGTGGTTTTAAGTTGCCCATTTCCATTAGAAATAGCAGTGAAATGGAAACTTCAGAAATACAGGCTGGTAGCTGTAAAAGCAAAGAGGGGCAGCCACTTTGGGAAGGGGGAGCAGGACCTGCGGGGAGACCCTTGCTGGGACCGAACGGGCAGGAGGAGCAGCTGGGTTGGTGCTTTGGCTGGAAGGGCTGGGATGGTCATCCCAGCCTTCTGTAGACCGGTAGCGACACGCTGCCTCCTACAAGCGTCCTCCTTGGATCGTTTTGCTCCAGGTCGGGCTGTTTTCTCTGTTTCTCTGTATTTTTTTGGTGCGATTCCAGCAACGTGAATGAAGTTATCCCGGTTTTACGGTTGAGCGGTGGTAAGCAGAGGCTGGTCCGTTTGCTTCCTGGGTAATAGCTGTTTAAACCATTTCAGCTGGATGTGCAGTGCAGCGGGCTTTATTCCCCCAGGTTTGTCATTTAATAATAGAGAGGTAGCGGAGCGATCCAAAACATACATCTAGAGCTGGCCTAAGTGGGAGTGCGTGGGCATGGAAGACTCAGATTTGCCGGCTTCAATCAAAAAGACGAACGTACTCGCTACGGAAGATGTCAACGTACCCTTATAGAGATTCTGTGCATTGACCAGATGTTTTTCTGCGTGTTTGTAAATACCTTCTTAATGCACGTGCTGTGCTGCCGTGCTGTGATACGCAAACACCCGGCAACGCATCTAACCAGGGCTTTGCACGGGGAGGGAGTCTCGGGAGCTGTCTGCCCACGTTCAGCTCCGAGCAGCAGCCACACAACCGTCAATGCATTTTAAAAATGAAGTTAAACATCGGTTCTGTTGTGCAGGGAATGTTTTTTCTTTTTCTACTAAATCCCCGAGGTTTTCTGTCTAATGAAAGAAGTGTGTTGTCGTGTGATACAAGAAAGTACGACGACATTTGAAGCGGCGTTTGTGGAAAATATCATCATACTGAAACCCGTTCTGAAATAAGCCATATTTAGCACTTGCAAAACGACAGCAAATAGATTTAGAAGTTTTGGGCTAAGTTATCAGATGATGTAAACTGGCAGAACTCCATTGAAGTCTATGGAGAGGTGCCAGCTTACATCAGTGGAGAATTTGGCCCTTGTAAAAAATTAGCTACAATTCTTATCTAAGATTTTCCATTCTTCAACTCTTGGGCAAAGGAAAAAAAAACCTTTTATATTTTGCAGTAAATTCACTGGGAAATGCAATGGGTGTTTGCAAGCATTCATATCTACAGCTATAAACCGTAGCTGATGGAGTTAGAAGCCAGAGCTGGTGGAGCTGATGGTTGTGTCTAACGTACAATGTAGGTGGTCCCCTCGTGCACGTATCCACTGCCTGGATGATGCCCAGGATAGGATTACGCTGGGAATAGCAGCAATGTACAGACTGTCTCAGCCATAATTTCCTGGCTGAGTTGACCGTGTTTTCATGCTTCCTTGTCCAGAAGCTTTGCCATTATCTGCTGCTCTCTGAGATAATAGCCAGTGTGGAAAATCCAGCCTGCTATCTTGCTGAAACAGAGAGGTGGATAATTTTCTCCATGGACAATCTGCAGATATGATTTCTTGAGTTCAGAAGGGATTGGCCTTTTCCCTAGGGGACAGGTCTGTGTCTGGAGGGAGGAACGTCCCAACTTCTCTACGTTGTTGAATTTTATATGCAAGTGTAAGGTTTTTCTTCTTTTGAGTAGCTTCAGTCTCTGGAAAGGCTGTTTGTGGCTACTTGCAAATCAGACCAGTTTTCTGTCAGGGGGTGACTGAGGTTATGGATGGTGGAGATTGTTTAGGGTTTTTTTGAAAATAAATCAGGTTGTCCTTTCATTGAAAAGGGGGGTGGTTAGTCTGCTGCTTGCAAAAGATCTTCTCAGTACTGCTTTTTGGCAGCTGTCATCCTGTCTGGAAAATTACTTTTTGGGTGGTGGTGGAGAGGTGGCTTTGGCATTGTTCATATGTCTGTACTACCAGATTGTCTGTACTTTTTGCTAGTCAGGTCAGAGGCAAAGTTGCAGCACAGAGGAGACGGCTTTGGCCTGAGTGGCTGAGAATATCTGTGCTGGTTCCCTCTGTGGTGGCCTTGGCCTTTGGCAGTGGAAGCCATGAGACTCTGGTGACCTCCTGGGGGTCCTGACAGAAGCTAATGCTGTGCACTGGCCTGGGTCTGACCCTTAGTCACTGCTGGGCAGGAGGTCAATCATCGGTCTCAAGATCGCATTTATGTGGGCTCTGGCAGGTCATCTCCTGGCTGCTCCTGAATACGCGTGGGTCTGTGGGAGGGAGGCGATGAAGTGGCCTGGGCTGTGCGGTCATCACTGCGCCGATGACTCACGTGTCTTCAACTTTTTTCATATTCAGTCCAGAAAATGCCATTTTGGTGTTTCCCCAGTGCTTTGCTGAGGCAGGAGTTTGGATGAGGAAGAGGTGAGTCAAGCTCAAGCTGGAAGATTTAGAGGTGGTGCCAGATGTTTGGGAAACTTGGCCAAGAGGCACATGAGATTAACAGCTGTCCTTCTGACAATGATTTGCTCCCTTTGGAAGAGCATTCTCAGCTTTCTGCTTTGCCCCTGAAGTGCAAAGTAGCATGTCACCAAAGAGTGCTTCATAGAGGCTGCATTTAGTGTGATGTTTGTGACTGTTTCCATGGACTTCTGCCTTCCTGACTTTTCTCACCTCCAGCTAAGCTTATTGTGTAGCTATTTAAAAGCAGCAGTGCTTGAACAGTGCTTGGAAGCTATATCCGGGGAAAAGCGTACCAGTTGTTGGGCTTTTAGCAGTGCTGTTCAGAAATATGTGCATGGAATATTCTTCCAGCAGAAAATTAAGAACTCATTTTGATTTGTAATGTTCTCAGTGTGGTGTCAAGGATTCAAATCTGGTCCGAATCTGGAAGACAGCTCTTCCAGGAGCTGAGGAATGCCAGGAGCCCGTGGGGACAGAGGAGGGCTGTTGGGGCTCTGGCTCTGTGGTGGAGAGAGTGAAAGAAAAAGATGACTGCTGGGTGGGATGATCAAGGGCAAAAATAAAGATGATCAAGGAAAAAATATTATTAATAAATAAATGAAGCCCTGGATACTTAGCTGATGTGTTTGGCAACATGTGAGTGCCTTGTGCTCGTTAATGTGCTATTCTCACGGCAGCACAGCGAGGAGAGGATGTGTTACAATTCCCATCGAGCAGACGGGGAGATGGAGCTATGAAGGTGCACAGCCAAGCCAGGGACGGAGCGGGGAGGTCAGCTCCTGTTCCCTGATTAGCAACCCAACCGTTGCTCCCTGTTGGCAGTCCATTGGTGGCCATACAAGGTCTGTAGCGAATGCACCCATCTGGCTGAGCTGGGTTTGTCCCCTTTACTGTGGGATTTGTCCCATAGCTCCTGTTTACCCTTCATCTTGGGAGAAAACCCTCCCAAGCAGCAATCAGTGTTTGAGCTTTAACGTGCAATGGGTTGTTGCTGATTTAGAGCTGTAGTCACTCAGATTTGCAGCCTCGGAGACTGACTCTGTCATTCTTGTGCCTTCTGAAAATGAGGAATGACTGCTGGACTTGGCAGCTGAGTGGCAGACCGACGCACGGTCGGTCCCCTGCTGCCAGGGCTGGCAGATGCTGCGAGTGCCGTGGCGTTGGCGTCCTCCTCCTCATTGTTGTTCTGTAGTGATCTCACCCCGGCTCCCAGGGACCATACCACGAGCACTGCTGGCTGGCACCTGGCCCACGTGTCCTTATGAAGATGTTAGTCTGACATCCGAGGGGTGGGACAGTGATGGGCAGAAATTAGTGTCTTAAAGGGGCTCCTCTGTCCTGCCTTCAAATTGTCCAAATCCTCATCAGGATTCTAAACCACAGATTATTATTACTTTTTTTTTATTTATAGCAGACATCTAAGGTCTTTTAGGAAATCTTTTGGGATAATTTGACAAGAAAAGTTGTGTTTTCTTGCCAAGTCTGCTATGATTCCTTCTTCAACTATGGGCAAAGTCTCTTAACCCATTTCAATCTTGTGTTCCTAGCCTGAAGGTGGAGACTGTAATCCTTTGCTCCATCCCGTTTCCCTTTCTTGCGTCTTTAGATAGTAATTTTTTAGGCTAAGGACTGTCCCTGATTGTACAATACCCTGTACGCTGGCCTAAAATAATGGTTCAGTACTTTATTCTTAGTCCTACCACGTGTTTTCTACGTGACGCTGGGACAATCACTTACCCTCTCAGCACTTTCTGTTTTCCTATCTGCAAAGCAGCGATAATGCCTACTTCCAAAGCAGATCCCTTGGCTGGAAGGTGCCACCTACGTGCTGAGCGCTGTTATTCCCTCTGCTAAATGTGCGCGTGATCGTCATTAAACACGGACAGGACAGGCTGTTTTGTAACGGCAGTTGTCCCCTATGAATGCAGGGACCTGTAATGGATCTGATCTGGGGGGGTATTACCCCCTGCTGAATGTGCTGCCCTGATGAACGGTAGCATTTTTCTTGTCAACAATTAGACAGCGCTGTCTTCTGTGAGGTTTGCATTAAGATAAGATGGGTTTTGTTCACATTTCTGCCTTTTTTTTTTTTTGTCCCCCCAGCATTGTTCAAACTGGACAAATGGTTCTTTGTAGACGTGTTAGCGTTGGCTTGCTTCCGTTAAAGACATGAACAGCTTCTTACCAAGCAATCAGTGGGAGCCAATATTCATGTGTGTGTGTTAAGTGCAATTAAATGATATGGTTACTGTTCTGAAGCAATCGATTAACTGATTGATAAAATGGTATTACATATTATAATATGTCTTATATATGCTCTAACTTAGATTAACTCTAAATTACATTTATGTCTACAAAATACAGGTGTGATGGCTGGGTTCAATATGAGCGGAGATCTCCAGAAGCCTGCTGCCAACATCCCCCTGGGGTCTCTGGCTGCTATTGGCACCTCGTAAGTCATAGACTGGGGAAAATTTACTCTTTGGACACTGCCCTGGATGTGACCAATCCATTTCAGATTCCCATCAACCTTTTATTACTCAGCCATCTGGAAAATTAAAGTCTGGCCCTCATTCAAATTATCATCCATTACCACCACCTACTCCGGGTGGGTTAGAGAAAAGAGGGTCATTAACGCGGATATAATCAGTCCTTCCTCTGCCGGGTGGGATGTGTGTTGGTGCGAGAGCCGTTGTGTTGCTGCAGCCTGGCTGGCCCAGAGCAGGATGCAAAGTTCTTGAAGGCTTGGGGTGTGTGATTTTGTCACTTTTTGCTGTTGATTTCAAAGTGCTTTCTTTTTCTATATAAATAGAAAATATAAAAGATACAAAATATAAAAAATGGGCCGAGACAGGTGAGATGACCTACCCACCTGCAAGGCCAGAGGAACCCAGGAGCCCCACATTCCTGAGCAGTGCTGTCCCCTGGGAAATGCTGCTTTCCAGGAGTAAAATATTTTTATGTATTAAAAAAAAAAAAACCTCAGTAGGTTTTCCTGCCTGTTTTCATTGCCACCTAAATTGTTTTTGAAATAATTATGTTTAATTGCGTACCAAGGTTCAGACAGGAAGGCTCTTCTGAATTTAGAGGGGTTCCTACTGAAATTGGTGCTTGTTTTAAGTGAGGGATTCCGTGGGACACAGAAGTATCACAGATGGTTGGACTATGGTTGTTCACATCTCTGCTGTCTGGACTTCGCAGACATACTAGCTTATCCCTCCACCTGAGTAGTGGAAACGCCAGAGATACCAAAGGAGAATCGTGACTGAGGTTGTAGAGCAAACTGACTGCAGTATTTGACATTACTGCCAGACGAGCGGACCTGTGTACCTGCAGAGTCATAGAATCATAGAATATTTCAGGTTGGAAGGGACCTTTAAAGGCCATCTAGTCCAACCCCCCTGCAATGAGCAGGGACATCTTCAACTAGATCAGGTTGCTCAGAGCCCCGTCCAACCTGACCTTGAATGTTTCCAGGGATGGGGCATCTACCACCTCTCTGGGCAACCTGGGCCAGTGTTTCACCGTGCTCACAGTAAAAACTTTCTCTCTTCTATCTAGTCTGAATCTACCCTGTTTTAGTTTAAAGCCATTACCCCTTGTCCTATTGCAACAGGCCCTGCTAAAAAGTCTGTCCCCAGGACTGGGTTATTTCCCCCATGCACAGATCAAGAGTACAGGTAACTTTCCCTCCGGGGTACCGTATGATCACTCTGCGGCTGTCCTGGGTGTACTGTAGCAGGTAGTAACGTGGTAACGTGGACCAGTGTTAAATTTAGCCCTGAGGCTAAATCATACAGAAACAGCCCATGCAGAGTGATTGAAGACCCAGCTTGCAGGTACTTGACCTTCTCCTGGCTCTGCTAATGGGCAGAATTCTCAATGGTCTTCTCTTGCTGGAAAAAAATAGTTTACTTTTATTATTTGCAGGTGGTTTCTGTACATGGTCTTTGTTTTTTTGCTGGGAGCCATTTGTACTCGTCAGTCACTCCGCTATGACTTCATGATAGCAGAGAAGGTAACTTGTTCGAATAACCCAGCGTGGTTTTACATAATGGTGCTTTTGGGTTGCCGTCTGCCTTACTGAAAGCTCGAACTTTTCCAAAAGCCTAAGGAATTTGGGTACCCATCCCTCATTGAAATTCAGGGGGATTTCCCCATTGCAAGTCGCAGTGTACAATTGATTTGAATAGCTTTGCATTCAGCAGCATATCCAGTAATGCTGAATCTTGGCATAATCACCCGGCAATAGCTTTAAGAGCTAAAATATGCTAATGTGGTCTAATGATAAATGCTGTATTTTATTCAATGTATCCTTTCTCGGTGGTGAAAGCTTAGACCAAATTGAAATCTCTAAAGAACCCCACTGCTTATCTTTACTAAGTCAAGCGAAGCTTACATTTCCATATCTAGCGGGCTGTAATTGCAGGGCGAGCAATAGGATTATTAAACTCGAGACATTCCACATGGGCGTATGTACATGAGGGAGGTTTGTAGTGTTCCAGGCAATGAACCGTATCATTGCAGGCCTTTAAAAAGAGAGCAAAAGGTTTTGGTGTGTGTCATGGTCTTTCTTTAAATGGGATATAATTTTCTATTATTCAGCATTATCCAAAATCATGGATTCATCATATTTGACACTATTTTTTGTTATTAATTTAAAACTGAGGTGTTTGCCATTTATTTGGTTCGTAATGTGGTTCTTCTCTAAAATACCAATTTGAAACTCTGGCTTCGTTTTCTCGCTAAGTAATTGTAGCTCTAAACTTCCTCCAGCCCCCAAAATACACTCCAGGTTATTGGTGGGGCTCCTGCCACTTTCTGCTAAGGTAAAAAATCATCTCTGCTTCGGGGGAAAAAAGAATGAGCCTACCTTCTTTAAGGCAACATCTTTGTACGCCAGCATGACACTTAGTGAGTGAAAAACTCAATAACTAAAAGAATTAAATGAATCATCTGAAGAGAAAGAGATTGTTAAAGCTGTGTTTTAACTTCAAAACCCCCGGGGGGCTGGGGGGGGATGAAAAATCTCCCAGTAAATATTGTGAAGATAGTTAAAAATGATAAATATTAAAAAAAATAATCCAACCAACCAACCAAAAAAGCAAATTCCATTTTCTTCGCCTTAGTATGGAACAAAACAATGGTGCAATCCTAATATTCATGTTGCTTCTTTGAGTTATTACAAGCTGCTTTAGATGTTAATGACTTTGTTTGAGGGGCAGAGGAGGACAGATTGTTACACATCCAACACGCAAACTCTCCCTTTCTGTCACTCACAGGTGAGCGAGTGCTTGGCTGCTTTTCTCCCTTACAATACGTGTTTGGCTTTTTAATCCTAAAAACGAGATACAGTAATTTCACTTCTAATGAGCTCGAAGGGCCTATTTCTTACAAAGTATTCACGCTCTCCGTGCTCAAAACCCCCAGCAAACCCTTTCATCAGCCTCGGTGAAAAGGACTCTTCCCCTCTAACCCTGATTTGAATGTCAAGTAGTACATTTAAATGCAAGCATTTTTGGCAGCTAAAATAATATATGATGTCTGGCACAAGTGATTGTTTCTTCCAAGTATTTCTCAGAGCAGAGCAGGATTAGAGGAGAGGGAAGGGAAGATTCCCCATGGAGAATCCATTGGTCTAATGGAAGGTGGTATCTGCTTGTCTTTCTCTCAAGTTTCTTCTGTCCCACAAGATAAAATTCACAAGGCCAAATGGATTTTCATGGAGAAAAGAAATGTTGTGGTAGGAAGTTTGTACTGTTCTGGACCACAACATCAATTTTACATGCCCTCCCCAAGCAGCAAGCGTTTTATGGCTTTTTACCCGATCTCTTCTTTGCTGCGTGCGGTTTTCATAGATGAGGAAGAGGCACACATAGCTTGAATCCTCTTTAGACATGCAAATTTTTGTAATTCCTTCTAATAAAGCATGTGCCACCTGATTTGAACAGGAGGAGAAGCTGGGAGGACCCATGTTCATTTAGACCTCATTTTCCACGAGAGGAGGGGTGGGAGCGAAGGACACGTGGGACGTGAGGGACCTGCATTCAGTGCCATCCCCTGCCACAGATGTCTGTGGGGACCTCCAGCAGCTCGCTTCGGCAGAGTATGGGCAGGACATATCTGGAACAAAATTTGGGGTTTTTCTCCCTGCCTGGCCTTTGTGCTTGTGTTACCCCCTGCGATTTGCCTTTCTCAGTGCCTGGCTAGTGTCTGTCCAGGCTTGTGTGGTCTTGCAGGACTTGGGGATGGCTCAGGTGACCCTAGACCTTAGTCTCCATGGCTGTGTCTGCCCATGTCCTCACACCATGGTACCAGGAGCACTCTCATTTCAAAGTTTTCTTGCATAGCATTCTTATTGTGGGATTTTGTGTATTTGGGTGATTTTTTTTTTAGAGATGCTGCCTGTGCTTGCAGCTCTTGACAGTGGGGACCAGCTCAGGGGGACCCCAGTCATCACTTCTGTGTGATAGACCATAATCTGCCCTCCTTTCCCTCCATACCTGCAGGAGATGCTCCCCGTTTGAAAGGGTGCTCGCTAGAAACCGGTAATAAACCCGGCCTTGTTAGCACTGTGGCTTTAAAGATATATTTTTTTTTTAAGTTTCATGTTGGCCAAAGGAAATTCTTTTCTCATTGAAGACAGGAAAATAAGGTCATTGTATTATATCCTTCGGAGCGTGTTTTTTGAGATGCCATTTGTTTCAGTGGCAATTTTGATTTGGTTTTACTGTGGATTTTCTTTCAGGATTGGTTTTCCCCTCGGGGACGGAGGGGTTTGTCTTCCTGTTTTGGATGGTTGGAAGCCTGGGCAGCTTTTCCTGTATGATGTGCTCTGTATATAAGGGATCTCTCCTGAAATAAACTCACTTCCAGTTACTTAAGGGGAATCTAATAGCTGCTGCTTTGCTGCAATTGCTCCAAGTGACAAAGAGTTTCTTGGATATGAGCTTGTCAAATGGCTCTGTCAGTACAGGATGTTCAGTATTAAATTACTTTTATGGGATAATTTTCCTTTATTAATTGCTTGCACTTTATACCACAGACCAGTTCAATTACTGCTTTCCCAGGGCTCGCTCTGTTCGTTTAGCGATGTTACAAAATATATGCAATCTCTTAAAATACATGTATTTAAGACTGTGAGGGGGTCTTTAAAGAACAATATAGTGACCTTTGCATTCTCTCCACTTCCCCCAGGTATCCTTGGTGGGTTTCTTGTTTTTGCTAGGGCTGTACATCTCGTCCCTGGCCTCCTGCATGGGAGGGCTGTACGGAGCACCCAGGATCCTTCAGTGCATCGCCCAGGAGAACGTGATCCCCATGCTCGCCTTCCTTGGACGTGGGGTTAGTCATCCTTCCTCCGAGATTGCTCTCAAACCTTCACCTGAAGGAAAACTGGTGATTTAAGAAGCCAGGATTTCTGTAGGGTGGGATGGGGCATCTATGAAAATCAAGGAGGGGAAGGCTTGGGGTCTGGTACCCTATGGTAGGCAGAAAAGATGGGAAGTGGGTGGTTTTATGGAAAACCCAAGACCCCAGCTGTTGTCCCAACTTTGGGTTCTTTACCCAGTGCGCAAGACAATAACACACAGAGCAGAGGTGTTTCGAAGTTTATACCATTAATGTGCAGAAATGGAGTGCTCGTCCCAAAACAGGAGCACAACTTAGTTTCAAAAATCTCCACTTTTATACATTTATTGCATATTCAAACAAGTAATACATATTCATTGTTATTCTCTCTAATGATTGGTCGAGATTTCTTTGCTTCCCATGTAAATTAGTGCACAGACTCTGTCTTCTTCCGTTGTTGTCTTTTGAGTAAGTGGTATCATTTTGGTAGGTGGTCAATGAGTCAGTGGTCATGATCTCCACCTTCTGAAATTACCTTTTACCTACTTCTCCTCTGATCTTGGCAGTTCCAGGTGGTTTTCTCGGTTTGCTGACCAGGCCTACAGTTCATCACTCTCTTGACAGGAATACCCTGCTTATCAACAATAGTACATTGTCTGGTGGCTAGTTCCTTAATCGAATTGTAGATAAATCATGTCTAGTTACTATTTCTCTATTTTAATATTAGGTAAATAATTAAACAGGGTTGGGGCAGTGCAGAGGACTTGAGCAGCAGCAGGTTTCCTTGGATGCCTCAGTTACATTTTACATTTAATTTTCCCAGTTTATGTCAGTTTTACTACAACACAGCTGCCCACGGTGCTTCCCCTGCCTGTCCCCCGTGCTGCACTCCCTCTGCCCCGAGCCCTCCCACGGGCTCAGCACCGTGCAGGAGCAGCCCTGCTTCGCCCCCTGCATCTTGCTCATCCCCCTCTGCGCCCCGGCCTCGGGGCTGGCTGTCCTGTCCCCACACACAGACAGCCCTTCCTGGGCTGCCGTCCATCCGTCCTCTCCCTCCCCTGGACCCACCTCTTTCGAGATGCCCCTAGTAAAACAGCTACTTCTGATACAACTTTACCTGCGGGGTTTTTTTGCAAACACCTTATCTATGCTGGCGCTGATCCTAACCATGATGGAGGGAGGTACCTCACTCTTCTCTGCCCTTCCAGCCAGGGCAAAAGGCTGAAGCTTTTGTCTAGGCACTTTCGTGAAATGGATGGTAGCTGCCTCTTTATTATTTTATTATTATGATTATTTTTTCTTATTTCCTGCACTTTTTCTTTGAGCTCTTCCTATCCTCTCTGGTAACCTCATGGCTGAGTACGTGACTAGTCGCGGTGCAGTGGATTAAGTCTGCGCGCGCTGGAGGAGAGCACACTTCTTTGTAAGATGAGGTGCCTTTTGGACACTCTAAAATAAAAAAAAAGAATAGATTTGAAAGGTTAAGTTAGGGGGCTGCTAAGCTTTGGCTATGCTTTGAAACAAAGGCTTGCTTTGAATATGACAAGAGGCTTTTTCCTTGTCCTCACAAATAATCCTCATTCACATGAGTCGTTGTGCTGAGATCAGTCAAAGTACCAGTCACTAAGGACTCTGTAGGCTTGGGCTATACATTCACAGCAAGCTATTTTTTATGGCTTTCTCTTCTTCTAAACAGGGAGAAAATAATTCCCTCACTCTCTATAACCCGCAGCACCTAATCGTCTGTACCGAGTGGCTGGAAAAATCTGATGATGTTTTGCTCCTTCAGAGCAGCTTGTGAATACAGAAAGATATTTTATAATATCGGTATTTAGGAATGTTTTAAAATGTTGAAATGTTTTATAGGTGTAATAGTTTTCTATACTTTGATTTATGGTTCTCAAAGTAATTTTCTAAAACTAAAGTCATAATAATAGCGATAACAATAATAAATAGTAATAATTATAAGTGAATAAGGAACAATAACAACAGCAAAAACTTCCAGCTCCTGAAGGCAGTTGTCAGACAACCCCTGAACACACTGTTCTCCACTCCGCAATCCTTTGCAAATTCTCAGTGATTTAGCAAATTTGACTGCAAAACTGATTCCCTCTCTTCTCTGATAGTTTTCTGTCTTGCTGTCAAATTTTCTCCTCTGAACTCTGTCTGGGCAGAGTGCCACAATGGGAAGGGCTCAAAAAGAGGTGAGAAATCAAAGGCAGCTCACTTTCCCCCCATCCTTCTCTCTGCCACCTTGAAAATTGTCTAGATTTGGTTTACGGAGAGTTAATAAGTTTAGTTTGTCATTACTGAGCTGTTCCACATCGGTTCTTTTCCATGGCTGAAAGAAGTGCTGTAGTCACCGTAACCCCAGCTGATGGGAAGGACATGACTATTGTCTGTAGTGTTAAACCCAAGCCAGAGGCATCCTGAGATCATCCCATCTGTTCCCCATCTCAGTATGTCCTTCTGATACCGAAGATGTTCTCTGAGACCCGTGTTCCTTTATCCCCGAGATGTATTTCTGTTTCATTGTGAAAAGGCATAAGGTCCAGAATGAGTCCCCTTTTCTATTGATGACTAAGAATGGAGAAAATAGAAATAGTTTCCATTTGAGCTGTGTGTTTATTAAAGAAGCTCATGCAGTAAGTGAAAACCTAAGATATTTTATAAAGTATCTTGTAAGATGTTTTCCAGCGAGATCTTTACGCAGCCTACACAGGCTTCTCAGGTACCAAAACGGCGAGACAGTGCCTGGTCCAAGGAAGGGCGCATTAGACCTGGGATTAAAGTTCATGAGCTGATGGCTCAAGTCTTTCCACCCCCTGATGCCTTTTGCTTTGTCTCTCTCTTTCTCCTCCTCTCTCTGCCTTCACCCCACCCCAAAGGAGAAGCACAGGCGGTGTTTCTCCTGGCTGCCTGCCTTCCCCACACGTGCCCGGCATCGCTGGGGCTGCCTCCCGCCCTCCAGCATCCTCAGCTGCCCAACCTCTCTGCTGCTTTCCTCCTGCCGTTGGGCAGGTGCGGCTCGCGGGGAAGTAAGAAGGGGAAACCCCAAGTGCAGAGGCTCAGCAGACCGTGGATTTAGCTCAGCCTCATGTCAGGGCAGGGCCAGAAGCTGATGCTGTGAAGGCGGCACTGCTCCGTGCAGGCAGAGCCTCACTGACTGTATCTGGCAGCCGGAGGCTTTCCAATGGCAGCTTGTGGGAGCCTTTTGGGTAGGCAGCGATGCGGAGTCCTGTAGAGAAATTGGAGATGAACAGTTAACTCTAATTAACGTGTTTTATTGCCAGACTTCCCATAAGCCCCACAAATCTCTCTGAAGGTTTATTGCTGCTTTAATGACATTGTTTTACTGTGGAGATACGGAGAGTGGATGAGTTTTCCGAAGAGAAAGCTTGAGTAGGGCTCAGGGGTAAGGTGGGAGCTCAGCAGCTTTTGGCTTCCAGCCTGTTCTTTAATTTATTAGGCTGGTGAGCCTCTGCTTGTGCACATGTGTGTGTGTTTCATGACTAAGGGGGGTACTGCAGACCGCCCAGGTAACCACCCATGGCTGCTGAGCAAGTGACAAATCCTCACGGCGAGGCTCCTGGTTATTAATTTGAATGTAATTTTGTGTTATTTATGAACTAGAAAGGACCCAACAAGACTCCAGTGGCTGCGATTTGCTTAACAAGTCTCATCACCATGGCTTTCGTCTTCATTGGGCAAGTGAACGTTCTTGCTCCCATAGTCACCATCAACTTCATGTTAACATATATTGCTGTAGATTATTCCTATTTCTCGGTCTCCTTAAGCTACAATGTTCAGCAGAAACTTGATGAGACCCAGATGGAAAACTCTAGGCCTGCTCACTCTTCCCAGCCTTTAATTTTCAACAAGCCCTCCAGCCGTGTAGCAGATGGAGTAATTCAAAGCAGATCAAACGGCACCTTGCTGGAATTCACAAAAGACATGGACCAGCTTTTTAAACCATTTCGTAGCGAGCCAGGTACTTGCAAAAAAGGAGCTGGGGATTTAACCCAAAAGGTCAAACAAAAGAAGGCAAAGAAGCCAGCCAAGCAGACACTACAAGACAGCTTTCTTCTGGATCTCCCTCATGATGCTCCTCTGGCTCAGTACGGCTGGGATGTGACCACGGAGCCCCACCACAAGAGCCGACAGGACCTGGCTGAGCAGGGCTGTCAGCGTGACACGGGTCCGTGCTTATCACCCACTGCGGATGCCCAGCGGACACCCGGGCTGCTGGAGCCAGGGGAGCAGCGCTGCAGCGAGACACCTGTGCTCCCTGGCCGGAGGGGAGAAGGTAAGGGCTGTAGGAGATGGACATCTCCATGCTCATGGTGCTTTCCTGGAGGAAGGTGGAAAACTAGCATTATATAGGGCTGTCATTCAATGATTCATAGCAATAATATCATTTATTCCAGGTGAGGGTAGGGTTCATTGCAGTGCTTCACAGGAGAAGTTCCAATGCAATTTCCTATGGAAGATTAATGACAGAAAGCAGGCAAGACTACATTTAGTGCAGGGTTGTTTACTATGCAGTCATTATTCTACACATGCACACTTAACGCTTTACATTAAAAAAGGTTTTGAGTGCATCTTGGGGTTTCCTGTATCCTGGTGCAGGGTAGGAGGGATGGAGCCGTGCGAGCCTAAAACTCAGGCCATCAAAATGCAGTGGTCCCCAGGTAGACCTGTACAGGTGGAGCCTGTAATTCAACATCCACTGCCAAGAGTCTGAATTTGTTTTGTTGACAATGTGGGTATTTGATACCATGTGTTTCCTTGGAGTCATCTCAGTGCTGTAGTGTTTTATCAGCATTATTCAGTTAAGCTTTGTAAACCTTTCCAATAGAGAAAAGCCTTATTTCTCTTCTTTCACAAATAAGGAAACTGAAGCAGAGATAGGCAGATGTGGTCTTCAAATGGACTCAGCACTTCTTTTTGCTTTCATTTTAGAATTTTGGTTAAGCTCTGCCATACCCAGCTGTCAGCTAGAATTTCTGCTTTGTTTTTCTGCAATCTGGTAATATGAAGTAGGAGAAAAAAACCCACAAAACACTTTAGCCCCTTTCCGATGTCTCTTCTGGTTTTTTTTTCCTCTTTTGTTTTCTCTTTTTTCCTCTTTTGTTTTCTCTTTTTTTTTTCGTCTTTTTTTTTTTTTTCTTTAGAATTGCCTATAAAGCAACAAAATCCAGAGCTGGGAATTCAGCAAATACCAGAATCCTTCTACTCCAAATTCTGCAACCACTGGATTTCCTTTGTTGGTGTAAGTAATTTTCTTTTATTTTGAGCATTGATTTGTGATTGTAGAGAACAGATGGAAATTCATCACTTAGTGCAGTGTAAATACACCCCCGTACTTTAAAATGGCTTTTGTTTCTACTGTTTCAGGTCACCTGAATTTAAGTACTCAAGGTACCGTGCATCCAGTAGTTCAAATTCAGGGAAAGCCAGACGACACGTTATTTCAGACAACAAAAGCAGCAAAAAAAACCCCAACCCAACCCCAAAAGTTACAAATTCAAAAAGTCTGGCATCTTAGAACTTCAGAGTTGCATGACTGTCTGGGAAGACAACAGTGTCCCTCTTTTCACTGTGTGCCACCCTGCTTTTTCTTGCCGTGAGATGGAGTGAGACATCAGCTTCAAAGCTGTGTTGCTTTTATTTATGAGATGGTTTCTGCAAGCCCGGGGTGGGGTTTTGTTAGTTCTGACCTCCTGATACCAGCAGACCGGTTGTGAAATTCAACCTTTTGAGAGAGGAAAGCAGAGCATTCCACCAGCACGTTACTTTAAAGAATAAATAACTTTTAAATAGCTTCTGTCTCAAGCCACTGAAGAGTTTAAGACATTTAAATTCATCTTGGGAAGATGGATTAACGGGCAGATGACAGGGAAAGGGTCAGATATGCATAATGAATGAAACATATGGCCTTGCTGCATGGACGGGGATTTCATAGCTGTGTGTAAAATGTAACAAACCCACTCAAACAACACACCGAACCCTTTTAGTTTAATCCGTGGATGGAGTTTGACACCTACTTTTCAAATTCCCTGCTGCTGCTGCCGGCAGCCAGCCCCTGGCAAGGAGTCCCACTGGATTGTGGTGCCAGGGGTGGGATGGATGCTGGAGGCTCCTCTCCAGCGATGACATCTTTAGGAGGTTGCGCGTTGATGCTGTCTCCGGGCTTGGTAACTAATGTGGCTCCCAAGCACATGTCATCGCGAAGCAGTCAGCTCTCTGCCTTCGTGGGGGAATTTGCTTACAGAGGTGACTGACGTGTTCGTTAAAGCAGATTTGGTTTCCTGTCAATAGTCAGACTTGGGAGGAGGTTGCAGCAGAGCTGGGAAGGGATCAACAATGCAACTTAAAATCACAGAGGCAAAAATCAGATGCATTTATTCATCCTGACTCCTTTCCCCTCTGCCCTCTCCCAGCTTCACCCATCATATCAGTCTGGACTCATTTAGCTCTTTATTTGCATGTTGCCCCTTGCTGTTCCTAACCTGATCCATGAAGATGCTACTCCTGACGCCATTCATGTGCCCCTTGAGCCAAATTTACCTCTCAAGCTGGTGAGCCTCTGGATACTCCTCTTGGAGTAGCCCAGGCAGAGACCTGAGGTCCACGCTGGCTCTAGGACTGAAGGTAGCTCACTGAAAGCCACCTCCATGCTGCTGAAGGTGATGCTGTAAACCTGTGCTGTCCCTCTTTTAATGATGAGACCAAACGAGGCTCCCTATAACATGGGAACCTAATTACTGAGAAACCTCAGCCATGCCGTATCCAAATCTTTTCAGATAATGCTGTATGGAACTGCTCTATGTGTGGCCAAAAGCCATGCACCACGGAGTGTTTTGCAGGCGGGAGGTGATGTGGCTCCCCAGGGGTCCTGCTGCACCACCAGCCTCAGCCATCCACCCATGTGGTTGCAGCTGGCATCACTTCTCCCACAGGCAGGACCCCGACTGTGCAGCAGGTCTTGGGCCAGGAGAGCCTCTGTTTTGTCCCCATTCCGGGACATCGTTAGGAGGGAGACACCTAAAAGCAAACGCTCATCAGGATAAAGCCAAGTGGCTGCATCCCGGGTCCTGACTGTGCGCATCTCTTACACAACGCTCCTAAGAAGACCCTGAGAAAGATGGAGGTGCGGAGATGCCATCAAAGCACTGGTTTTGCATCCATTTTAAACCAAGATGCAGCATTTCTGGCAAAAAAAAAAAAGAAAAAAAAAAGATTTTCGTTAGAGTTGCAATTGCTCATCTTGCAAGGCTGAGGAACAAATGGCTGAGCGGGTGTCAGGCTGTGTCTGAAGGTGAGCAGTCCTTGCTGGGCACTGCGCTGCCAGCTCTTCCGCAGGGCCAGTGCAGGAGCCCAACGGAGCCGCTGGGCTTTGCAGGAAAAGGACCGTCAGATTGTCATCAACGTGTTATCTTACGGACTCTGAGGTAACCCCAAACCGTGTCTTTCCAACAGGCGATCGTGTCCCTCATCATAATGTTTGTCATTCAGTGGATCTACACCCTTGTCAGCCTGGGCGCAGCGGTTATTCTGTATTTCTACATCGGCCAAGTGAGCCCAGGACTCCCCCTTGGTCAGTATTTTTTTTTTTTCTGTATTATTAAATCTGCTTAAAAATTCATTAAGCTTAAATTTAACTTACTTAGGAATCAAGACCCTCGTGTTTAATATGCAGGTGACACAGTGAATGATGAGGTTTTGTTTCATTGCTAGTTTTAATACATTTTCTCTCTCGCTCTTTAATTTTATATTGGATTCTAACTGCAACTAGCATGAGTCTGATAGTTGGAACATTGTGTTTATTGCTTTAATATATTCTACTTTAAATGGCAAAAACAGATACTAAGACTTAACAGGGATGGCAGATTGTAAATGTATCTCAGCAATGAGAAAATTCTGCCGTAAATACGTTTTAATAAACTTAATTAATCAGTCTAAACCCACCTGAGAAAACTTTAATGAAAATGGGAATTACGATGAGTATCTCATTAAATCTCAGCATTCATAACTGCAAAACAAGGGAGCCTTTTGATTCCAGAACTAAACAGGTTGAATATGTTGGGAACATAATCTGGGAAAATACTCTTAGGCAGAGGGCATTAGAAAGGTCTGCGCATGTGATCGGCTTAAACAAGTTCAAAATTAAACAGTGAAGCACATTCAGAAGGCAGCTCATGAGAGCCTACAGCTCCCTGGCACGGCTGCAGGAGGGGTCTGTGTCTCTGAAGGGAGAAGGTGGTCCAGTGTGCACATACTCATGTACTTGTGCATGCATACATATGTAAGTGCATACGTGCATAAGTACCTGCACACGTGGATGTGCAATTTTTTGCCCAAGACGAGAGCAGTCAAAAGAACCTCAGTTCACATGTCTTCTAAGCAACGCAGAAGTGGTGACTTGTGTTTATTTAGATGAAAGGTGATTAGAAAGTAGTTAGGTCAGTACTAGGTTTCAGTAACCCAGACAATGAGAAACCAAAATATAGTTGTCACTCAATAACCATCACAACATGGCTCAGCAGCGCTCCTTTTTCTACACTAACTGACTTCTTTTCTATTTATCTGCATGGGATAGTAGAAAAGAGCTGAGGTTGTGGATAGTATTTGCTAATTTGTGTCTTTTGAAATATATAGAAATTTTAACCAAGTTTTTTACAGCCCCCATATATTAAAGAAAACACAATGTTTTCGGGCTTCAGAGTTTTCTTTCCCTTTGTATATTTGCTATATTATATCTGTATTATCTGCTTTTAAAATATTTACCAAAAATGACTTTAAAAAGAATTTCGCAGTCAGTGTGTAGAGGATTTGGGAAAGTTTTCTGAGAAATTGCAGCATGATTACACTTTTTTCTTCATGGTTTCTTTTGGATATTTATTCCCATGCATACAGTAAAGCAAAGCACGGCAAAGAAAAAGTTAGAAACGAACAATGAAAGTTATTTGGCTGTGAGGGAACATTATTTTGTGTTCACATGGCATCCGATGAGCCACGAGTTTGTTCTCCAAAAGACTAAATGACCCTTCTGTCTAGAGAGGTTAGGAGACACTGGCCTGAGAGATGCTCTGGATTAAGGACTAGATGAAGACCTTGGGAGCAGAAACGTTCTGGGATTACAACATGTACCTGCTCTTCTCTCTTCCTTCCCAACAGGCTATGCCAAACCCAGCAGGTGCTGCTAGGTCTCTGTTCTCCTCCCTGTCCCTCATCACAAACTTCTCCTGCCGCTTTTGCTGCCGGTTCTGGTACTTCCCAGCCCCTGCAGTTACCCAGTGCAGGAAACTAACTCTACAGAGAAATCAGAAAAAATTTAGCGTTGGTGTAATAAGCTAAGTCAGCTCTCCGTGGGGTGAGACAGGAGAGAATGAATAGTGAGACCACAGCCACCCTGGTTGAGGTTGGTTGAACATCTCCTCCTGTCTCCCCATCCCTACAGTGGGAATGAGCTCTGCAGTCCAGGGAGGAAAAGGTACAGCTGTGGGTGTCTGTGCTTTGCTCATGGCTTTACTGGGGTTTTCACAAGCTATCAGTCTGGGAAAGGATAGCTGTTCTCCGTGGGAAATTTGGGTTGAGTTTCTTGACAATCGTTTAAAAGCTGCAGTGTGTGGGAAGACTGCAGGAGTGTTCTTACCGTCACAAAATCTTTGTGTGCTGAAGGCTAATAACAAGCATGCTGGTTTGAGGTTTTATGCAAAAGTTCAACGGTGTAATGCTATTATGAGAGAATTAGCAGCGTACTGACTTCTCGTGCCTTTTCTCTGTAGGAGCAGCAGCAAATTTCAGTTTCTTGGGCTGGATTAAGTCGGTTTTGATCACCTCGTGCAGGTTGGTACCAATCACTTGGCAGTGGCCGAGGCGATGCTCGTGGTTCCTGTGACCCACTAAGGTGCACCGTGAGGGGTGGCAGAGCTGACTTGCTTATTACCTTAAGCAGTCCCTTCTTGCATACTCAGAGTTATTCTTAATGGTAAAAATAACCGCTTGCTCCCGTTAGCCTGGTGTATGGCTGGCCATGTAAGTGTGAGAGCTGGAGTGTCCTCTGCCTTATGCGTGGACGCATCAGCTGATAACCATATCTCAGTACCTGAAGCTTTATCTTACCCCAAAGGTCTGTGCTCAACCTTGGTGGTTCAGGTTGAACTGAAATATCTGGTAGGAGATGAGGAACTGGAGACTCCATCTCTTTCACCCACCATCCATTGAATGGGAATTACTGTGGTAGTGGTGGATCAGGCACACCTGGCAGCTGTGCTTGAGTTTGAGAGAGGAAATTTGGGGGGAAGCCACAATAACTCCAGGGCAAATACAATAAACAAGGTCCTCAGTGAAAGAACCATTCAGTATTGAGTTTACGTGGGACTGTAGTAGCAATGTCTGGGGGTTTTCCTTCCTAGAAGACCTTAAGGGTTTTGTTTGGTTGGTTATTAACTAGTTTTGTTAATCCATTTTGATCCTATTAATTATTAATTCCATCACTTTTGGGTTTCCCACAGAGGGTAGAGACCATCTCTGCCGCTGTACAGTACAGTGGGATTTTGAGGTTCTCAATCTGTTGGATTGCTTTTTGTTGTGGTGTGTGAACACTGTAGTCAGGACTGCACAACACGAGCTGCCGTGCATTATGTGGGCAAATTTGGTGGCTCCTTTAAAATAAGTGAAAGTCCAGGCATTTAAGAGCATTGGCACACATCTGTGCCTGTCTTGCCAGCTCCTGCCTCTGCCTCCAGTCCCTATAACATGGCCACATGTCTTTGGTAGCAGAGGTGGCTTGGGAGAGAAGCTGGGGGTGATGGGTCCTCTCTTAGGTCCCCACGGCGGGACTGTGGCGTGGCCGAGAACAGACAAGTCAGTTCTACTGCATCATATCCATCCCTGTCTCCACCAGACCAGCAGGTGTCTGCAGGGATGGGACTGGGTCCCTGAAGACCAACCTGTCCTGCAAACCTCTTGCCAAGAATAGCGTTGTTCACACAGCTACTGCTGCCTCTCATGGCAGTTGTGTAAAGCTGCGTGCTTGCCAAAGTGTTAGGAGATTAGAGCCCAGGTTAGACAGACCACCCAGAAGAGGAGGAGTTGAGTGGGTGTAGAAGGTGTGCACTATGTTTTCTGCATATCTTGTTTGGAGTTAAGGGGTTGTCCCCCACCCTTTTCACAACATCGGCTGGACTGGTGACATGAGCGCAAGCCCGGCGTGAGAGGGTGAGGATGGGAACAGGGTGCACAGGCCATGCTGAAGCGCTACCAGAATTACTCATGGCACAGTGAATCAGACCCCAGTGCTTCGTATCTGAGGCACTTGTCTGTCTGGTTCCACCTCAGTGTCCGGGCGGATCTGTGGCAGGTCATTTGAGCTCGGTGCAGCTATGATGATAGAGCAGGATTTTCCTCCCGGTTGTCCCTCGGTGCGTCTCAGCCCTGTCTCCCACCCATTGTCAGAGGTTCCCCATGGGAGGCTGGTTGAGATGTGAGGCTTCACGGAGAGTCACCATGTGTGGAAAGGAGAAGCTGTAGCTCCCGGAGAGGCAGCTCCGCTTCTCATGGGTAGAGGTGCTATTGACACGGGGGCATTTTGTCCTGTGGGTTACCAGACTGGCCCCATCCTTAGCGCTTCGATCAGTGCAATCGATGAGCAAAGACCGTGCCGAGGAGGGCTGAGTGGGGAGCTGGGGACTGCCCAAGGCAGAGACTCATCCTGTTTCTCTCTTCTCAAAGAGTGCAATCTCTGCGTCTGCCAGCCAACCTGGTGGCCTTATGCTAGTACCGGGGCTCCTGCTCGTGCTGGCACAAAGACAATTTCAGCTCTGCTGGGGAGTTGGGGGGGTAATTTTGAAGGCCACCTTTGCCACACTGTGAGAAATTGCACTGAAGTCATTTGATGGTTTTTTTCCTAAGCTTTGTTTTCTTGAGATCCGGGCAAGACATTTTAACGAACTGGAGGGAAAGAAGTTGTCCCATTAGAGTGCAAGAGAGCTGGAGGCAACCAAAGATCCTTGACACCTCTAAGGCTCTTTGGTGCCAAATGAGGTCCAAGTCGGTGCTATAAGCTCCTGCTGTTTTGATTTGCAGACGTGCAGTCAGGTTTTCTTAATATCAGCCTCTGCAGTAAAGGCATTGCAGGAACTTCTCTTCCATTTAAAAGAGTTACAGAAATAATTGAAATGTACACTAAAGCTTAGGAAACCATAAGAAAGAATTTTTTTTGCTAGAAATGGTTCAAGCTCCTTCTTTTCCTGCACAGTGTGGAAAGTGTTTGCCATAGCCAACATCCAAAGGAGAAACTTATTTGTTAAGAAAATGCATATTTTCCAGTGTTTGCTGGAAAATATTTTCAGATTAGCACTGTGCCTCCCAAGGGTGACAAGAAGGATTTAGCTCTTCACAGCAGCAGTTCAGCTGATTTTGTGTGCGCAGCCGCTAATGGATGGCAAACGAGGGGTGATACAGGTGCCTCTGCTTCTCTGTTTGCAGGAGAAGGCCATCTCCCAAGGAGCAGATCGTGGTGACACCGTCCTTTGCAACAGTTGGCATGGAGACCACACAGCTCACTGAGGAGAACGCAGACTTTGCCTCACGGGACCGCTATCACCAGTCCTCGCTTATCAGCCGAGAGGAGTTTGGGAATCAATTCCAGTAAAGGACACCAAAAAAATCAAGCTGTCGCTTCAAAAAGTATTTAGAAGTGCTAATGGCTGCCATGGTGCCTTGTGAAATACTTGAATATATATGAAAAGGATGTGAATAGTTATTTATATATTCGAGGCTTGTTTGTTTATGCAAACTACAATATTGCTGGGTTTCAAATCTTACCCAAAATGGGGGAAAAAATGCAAATGAAAGGGCCCGTCCAGGGAAGTGATGAGTTACTGAAGACAGTATACTCCTTTTTAAAGAATTCAATTGTAAGCGCTATTGAGATCTAAAGACCATCACCGCTGTAAAAGCTTACAACACCCCATTTCAAACGTCCTCTGGGTGACTAGGGATGCTTTGTGCCTCGAGCAGTGCCTGCTCGACAGCGGGAGCCAGAGCCCCGCTCCCAGCTGTGCCACAGATGGATGCGACCTTCCAGGTCAATTCACTTCTCCTCTCGGCATGAATTTGCCTGCTTGTAATACAGTAATTTTCTACCTCAGCATTTCAATTTCCAAGGTCTTAGAAATTACTTTAAGGCATTAGACAATAGGCCAGAATCAGTGGCAAGTGCAAGAAGATTATGAAATATAATCACAACTGGAATCGCACATTTAAATGCAGTAATGCGGTATAATGACCTCTACTGTAAAACTGTGAAATGATGTCTTAGAAGCTGTTCATAGTGATTTCCCGTATCCTTTCTGACATGACTCCTGGGACCTGACAACATAGCTGGGTCCAAATAGAGCACCTCCTGGCTGAAGGGACAGACGATTCAGAAGTGCCTTAACAAAATACGTTTAGCCTCATTTTTGCTAATTTTGCTTAAAGCCTGTCCCATAGTGAGCTCCCACAAGGAGCTGTTTCTCCTACAGCCATGATTTGGGATGCGGGAGGTTCAGTGAGGGATGCTGCAGGATTTCCCATGCAGACCTCAGGGTTGTTTGGGCAGTGGCTGTGGGATGGGGTGAAGCCTTGACCCCTGTCACCATCACTTCTGCTCCCCAGGGAAGAACCCCTCTACTGAGCGCTGTCTTGCCTGCAGGCAGCGGTCCTGGCAAAGAGCCGGGGAGGTGCGAGGGAGGGCTCTGGTTTGAGGCAAGCCCCAGCAGCACAAGCTGTTCTGATGCTAAAAGGAGGGAGAAATCACTGCCTTTCACTTCCTTTCATCTCTGAGTGTTTTTAGCCTGTAGATTATTTATTTCTCCTTCTATGCAATAAAATCTTGAGACACCAGGAACTCCTCTCCGTGCTTGTGCGGGCGTGCTTGATGCCTTTGAGCACCGTTCCACTTGCCAGTGCCCAGTGCTCTGGCGTTACCAACTGTGGGGGGACTCCCTGTCCCATCTCATGGTCTGACCAGCTGCAGCTTTGGCTCTTCCAGTTTTCTACCAGGGGGAAGCAAAGGAGGCTTTCTACTGACATGAAGAGAGCAATACCGGCAAACTGCAGAAAGCGTATAAATTTTCTGAGGTCACAGGTCTTTTACTAAGTGTTTTTAACCTAAATTATCTCAGTTGAGGCAAAAGGGAAGTTATGCTTGTGTGGGCAGCTCTGCGACACCTCAAGTCAGTTGTTCTGTGTTGGAAGTGCTCCTTCCAGTGTTCCTTCCTTCCATTGCCTTTTGCCTTTGGTTTCCAAAGAGTCTGGATCTGTTGTGGGGATATGGCTCCATGCCGAAGCTTCCCTTGGGTTCCCTGGGACCAGCAGCTCCACAGAGCCCTTCGTGTGCTCGTAACATCCTTGATCTTGGCAGCAACTGCTGTTGTGCAAACGTCAAATACTCCTTGGTGCTGACCCACCCCTGGCAAGCTGCATGGTGCTGTGTTATCCCCTGTTACAGTTTGATACCCAACCATAATGCCATTGCTGTACAATCTTGTATTTCATAAAGTCCCGTTGCATCAAAATATTGTGGGGTGCCTTCCCTCCCGAGACGGGCATTGCCCAGGTCCATGTTTCTCTGTAGCTTGAACAAAAGAAAACCCCGGATCATGGCATGAAGTGATTAATGGGCAGAAATTCCTGGGTTAATTTATTTGTTAGGTCCTAAACAGTTAGTTCCCTTCTTAAAATGAGGTAGCACTCAGGAGATCCAGAAAGGGAGGATGGGGAAGGTCCCTTGGCCATGTACCTCACTGGGCAGCTGCGCTGAGTGAAGCCAGATGACTTGGTAGTGGGGAGTATCTGGGTACAAAATTGGCTGGATGGCCGTGCTCAGAGAGTGGTGGTAAATGGAGTTAAGTCCAGCTGGTGTCCGGTCACAAGTGGTGTCCCCCAGGGCTCAGTGCTGGGGCCAGTTCTCTTTAATATCTTTATCAATGATCTGGATGAGGGGATTGAATGCACCCTCAGTAAGTTCGCAGATGACACTAAGCTAGGTGGGCGTGTTGATCTGCTTGAGGGTAGGATGGCTTTGCAGAGGGATCTGGACAGGCTGGACCAATGGGTCGAGGCCAATGGTATGAGGTTCAACAAGGTCAAGTGCTGGGTCCTGCACTTGGGCCACAACAACCCTATGCAGCGCTACAGGATTGGGGCGGAGTGGCTGGAAAGCTGCCCGGCAGAAAAGGACCTGGGGGAGTTGGTGGACAGCCAGCTGAATATGAGCCGGCAGTGTGCCCAGGTGGCCAAGAAGGCCAACGGCATCCTGGCCTGCATCAGGAATAGTGTGGTGAGCAGGACTAGGGAAGTGATCATCCCCCTGTTCTTGGTACTGTTGAGGCCCCACCTCAAGTATTGTGTTCAGTTTTGGGCCCCTCACTACAAGAAGGACACTGAGGTGTTGGAGCGTGTCCACAGAAGGGCTACAAAGCTGGTGAGGGGTCTGGAGCACAAGTCTTATAAGGAACGACTGAGGGAACTGGGGTTGTTTAGCCTGGAGAAGAGGAGGCTGAGGAGAGACCTTATCACCCTCTACAACTACCTGGAAGGAGGTTGTAGAGAGGTGAGGGCTGACCTCTTCTCCCTGGTGACAAGTGATAGGATGAGAGGAAATGGATTCAAGTTATGTCAGACAAGGTTTAGATTGGATATTAGGAAACATTTTTTCACTGAAAGGGTTATTAAACATTGGAATAGGCTGCCCGGGGAGGTGATGGATTTGCCATCCCTGGAGGTGTTTAAAAAAAGGGTAGATGTGGTACTTAGGGACATGGTTTAGAGGTGGTTTTGTCAGGGTAGGTTGATGGTTGGACTTGATGATCTTAAAGGTCCCTTCCAACCTCAGCAATTCTACGATTCTATGATTTGCCTCTCTGACACCACAGTCCCTGCTCGTCCCTGAAACTGGGATGTGGTGGGCCAGAAATACAACCAGCTTCTCCCCCAGGCTAGCAGTACTGGGAAGGTGGCCCACAGTTTGCTTTCAGACAACTGAGTCTGCAGCAGCTGTCCCCTTTCCCCAGCCACCGTCGTCCTGCCCCTTTGGCTCTAGCAGCCCTTTGCATCCGAATAACTTTTGGAACGGTTTCGGTTGTATTCACCCACCGGTGAAGCCTCGGCCAGCTGCCAGAGCAAAGCACCACGCTGTGCTGGGGCCTGGTGAGAGCTCATCCGGAGGGCTCTGGGGTGGAGGGATGGGTCGTGTCTCAGTATTTCTGGAAAAAGGCAGCGGCAGGGCTGGCATCAGCGCCGGATGGCAATAGCTGCAATCGGGACCTCGCAGTGGAGGAGGTGCTCTGCAGAACACATCGCGCTGGGGCTTCCTGGTCTTTGGGCTTCATGTGCTGCTGCTGGAGGAGCTTTTCCATGTCCACCTCTGGAACCACCATCACAGCGGGAGCCAGCTCCCTCCGCCACCCAGTGAGTATGGGCACTTGGTCCTTTCCTTCCCTCGTACATGCAAGGGAGGAACGTGTTGCATAGGGCTGGTTTCCTTGCTGCCATTACAGCTGGTTTCCTTGCTGCATTACAGGTTAAGAGTAGAGCAACTTTCCTGTTTGATGCTTGAAAAGGGATGTGTTGATCTTTTCCGGAGCGTTAGCTTTGGTGCAGTTAACGGTAAGAGTGGAGGGAAGCCGTGTTTTAGCACCGATAAGCCACAGACTGGGTGACGTTGGAGGCCCGATGAGGTCAGGCCATACGCATATGCAGGGCTTTGCCCATCATGGAGGCTTTTCCAGTGAGAACGAGTGAGCAGTTGCATTGCCAAAGGTCAGGGCATCTTGTCAAAAATGTCTGTAGCTTTTGTAGCACTCTAAAAAAAACAGGTGACATGAGGGGTAGGAATTAATCAGCTTCACATTTAGTGGTTAATAGGAAGAAATGCGGGTGGGGATTGTCGCTGTGGGTGGGAATGTGCTGCTTTCACCCCCACCAGGAGCCAGGCTGTGACTCCAGATGCTGCGGCTTTCATAAAGGTTTAGGTTCCCTGAAGGTGGGTTTGGGACCCAACTCTGAGCATCATGCGTCCCATACAGGTTGCAGCTTGGTTAATGTCATTAAGACAAGGCCTTCATATCTTCTAAGTCACGGAAGCTTTTTTAGCATCTGTAATTATTTTCCTTTCAGTTGGAAATTTGATTTTTTTTTTTTTAAATTATTATTATGTAAGAAATGAGAATGTTTTGCAATGGGTCAGGGTGTGAAAACATTTGCTTTCAAGAGAGACGTGGATGTAAAAGCTCTGGGTTTGTTTCTTTTTGAAGACTCCAACTGTAAATTGGTGGGTCTAGTTTTGACAGCTTCCTTTGCAGAGCACACAGGCACAGAAGACACTGGAGAATAAATATTTGATTACTTGCCTTGCAGTATTGCCTGGAAGCTCATGCTGCGTTTGTGATCCCACAGCACTAAATGGGTCCAGAAATCAGAGTCTTCTGCCTCAAAAAACTTGCAGCACAAATAGTCAAGACTAAGAATGGGCAGGAGAAAAGTGAAGTTTTATTGTGATATTGGCATTAAGAGACTGCTCCTTAGTTGGCATAAATTCTCATAATCCCTCTGGACCTGCTTGTGTGTCCCATTAGGATTCTGCACAGGGAGAACCAAGCTCCTTAA